CAGATGAGATGAATTCTGGCATTGAGGCAGGCGTCATTTTGAGCAGGTAGGGTTAAAGTACATCTGGAGCAGAGCACAGTCCAAATATTTTGGATGAGACTTACACCTTCCTTGGGTATTGAAGGACATATCCATAGTGTACAGCAGCATTTATGCTTCTATGAACTGGTTGTTTATATGGCTCAAACGTGAGACTGCTGGTATGTTCCAAACTACCATAAAAACAATTATAATGTACTGCTGCAAATTGTAGCCTGCAATGGTAGAGGTTAGAAGTGATCAATTATTGATGGAACTCCAGTAAGAACCCCTCACATACACTATGCAGTAACGATCAAGGCAGCAGTAAAATTATATTAAGAAATTGAAGAAAGTATGCTTAATAATATTAAAGGAGATGTTAAAGTATGAAAAAGTATTTATTCCAAATACACCTATACACCCTAAAATGGTTATTAAAAGTTGACTTTGTTTATCACGCAGGAATGTAATCAAACTTTACAGGTGAATGCTTCCCCTCAAGCTGATCATATTTTCAGCCTTAAGTTTGAGAAACACAGAGGAAGAAATGAAGTATAGGCCTTTAACCCCTTAAGGACGCATGACAGGTTCAGGACCGTCCTCGGCATTTTTGCGTTGCCGACCGAGGACGGTCCTGAACCGAGATCGCTTCCGCCGAAATCCCGTTGTTACTATCTGCCCGGCATCCCAGGCAGATAGTAACAGCCAATTACGGCGTGTGAGCGATCCGCGATCGCTCACAATTGGCTGGTGTCAAAGTGGGTGTTACAAACACTCACTTTGACACTGATCTCTGCCTCTCTCCTCTCTGTAGCGTTTTGTGAGAGGAGAGAGACAGAGATCCTGATAGTTTGTTGCAGCAGCTGTTCCTGTGAAAATTAAAAAGTATCTGCAGTTAATAAAAATCCTATTTTAACCCCTTCCCTGCCAGATCTGTTACAGACAGTGCATTTTTACTGTCTGTATTTTTTTTTTGCCCTTAAGGGTTAACTTTATTTTAAAAAATCTGTGTCTTAGACTGTCTTAGACTGTCGTAGTCTGTCGTAGTCTGTTTTAGTCTGTTTTAGTCTGTCGTAGTCTGTTAGTCTGTCATAGTCTGTCATAGCCTGTCGTAGTCAGTCAGTTTCCTTCCCCCAAATCTCCATTAGATTCTTCTAACAGGAGTTAGTTTAGGGATTACTGTTTTAGTCTGTTTTAGTCTGTTTTAGTGTTTAAAAAAATAAAAAAATAAAAATATTGTGTTTAGTATTTTGTTAGTTTAGTCTGTTGGTGTGAAACATGCAGCGCATGTACAGCTTGGAGGAGGCATATGCCTTCTTGGCGTCAGACTCTGACGCCACTGACACTGCGTCCGATTTTGACCCAGGTCAGTTTAGCGGCACGTCTAGTGACATGTCATCTGTGAGTGAGCCAGCTGCTAAAAGAAGCTGTGCTTCCCCTGCTACGCTGAATGTGGAGGAGGACTGGGTACCTCCACAGTTAGCTGAGCCCAACATCCCCCCTTTTAGTGCCAACGCAGGCATTAATGTGAATGTGGTTGACTTCTCCCCTATACAATATATGGAGTTATTTTTAGGGGATACCATCTGGGAGGAGATTGCTTCCCAGACTAATTTATACGCTAGCCAATTTATTGAGACCAATCCAGGTAGCTATACAGTCAGGGAGCATGCTTGGCATCCCACAGATGTCCCTGAACTTAAAACATTCTGGGCTCTTACCATGCTCATGGGGATAATAAAAAAGCCATCAATCCGGTCTTACTGGAGCACCAACCCAATTTGTTCGACTCCTATATTCTCCCAAACAATGCCTAGACCAAGATATGAGCTGCTGCTCAGATACTTACATTTTAACGACAATACGCTCTGTCACCCCAGAGATCACCCCGAATATGATAGGCTTTATAAAATACGCCCACTGGTAGACCATCTTCAGAACAGATTTTCTGAAGTTTATACTCCCCAACAAACTTTATCCATCGATGAATCCCTTATGAAATACAAAGGGAGATTAGGGTTCAAACAATATATCCCCTCAAAGCGGTCTAGGTATGGCATTAAAGTGTACAAACTTTGCGAGAGCGAAAGTGGCTACACATTTGCCTTCCGTGTATATGAGGGGAAAGATGCTCAACTGAACCCTCCTGGCTGTCCTGACTCTCTGGGGACAACTGGGAAACTTGTTTGGGACCTACTGAACCCTTTGCTCAATAAGGGTTACCACCTTTATGTGGACAATTTTTACAGCAGTGTCCACTTGTTTAAAATTCTTTATAGTTTACAGACACTGGCCTGCGGCACTGTAAGAAGAAATGCCAAGGATTTTCCCAGACCTCTCATAGAGGCCAAATTAAAAAAAGGGGAATGCAAAGCTCTGCGCAAGGCTGAACTGCTTGCGCTAAAATTTAAGGACAGGAAGGATGTTCACATGATAACAACCATCCATAACGAGGGCATGTCAGACGTCACTGTCCGAGGCAGGGTACAGACAAAACCGGTGTGCATCAGGGCTTATAACAGGCACATGGGGGGTGTTGATTTGGCTGATCAGCTGATGCAGCCTTATCTTATCTTAAGAAAGACAAAAGCCTGGTATAAAAAGGTGGCTATCTACCTGTTGCAAGTAGCAACACATAATTCATTTTTACTTTTTAAAAAAATGAATCCAGGAAGAACCACCTATCTCCAATTTCAGCTCAAGCTGATTTCCACAATAATTTATGGAGATGGTCAAGTTCCAACGACAGTGCAAGAGTCGTCTAGACATTTTATTTTTAAGATACCGCCAACACAAAAAAAAAGAAACCCCCAGAAACGTTGCCGGGTCTGTTATAAAAAAGGGAAAAGGACAGACACCCCTTTTCACTGTCCCGATTGCCCTACAAAACCTGGACTGTGTATTGGAGAATGTTTTAAGGTCTACCACACAGAAAATACATTTTTATAATACTTGTTCCTGATTTATTTTTTTTGTTTATTTTGAAAGCAGCAAATTTCTGTTAGTCAGTATCCTTCCCCAAATCTCCAGTTAGATTCTTTTTGCAGGAGTTAGTTTACAGATTGCTGCTAACAGAAGTTTTAGTCTCATTTAGTCTGTTTTTATCAGTTTTAGTCTGTTTTTAGTATAAAATAAAATAAAAAATTGTGTGTTAGTAACTCTGTGTTAGCCAGACTCTGACGCCACTGACACTGCGTCCGATTTTGACCCAGGTCAGTTTTCTGACATGTCATCTGTGTGTGAGCTGGCTGCAAAAGAAGCTGTGCTTTCTCTGCTACGCCGAATGTGGAGGAGGAACAGGTTTCTCCACAGTTAGCTGAGCCCCAAATCACCCCTTTTAGTGCCAACACAGGCATTAATGTCAATGTGGATGACTTCTCCCCTATGCAATATATGGAGCTATTTTTAGGGGATACCATGTGGGAGGAGATTGC